GAAAAGAAATAAATGCGTATTTGCTGTGTAGGGTTGGCTTTAAAACCATCACTTGCATTTTGGCTGTCTTTGACTCCCAATGAATTATTTTTAAATTCAGGAAGATTATACAATTCTCCCTAAACTCTCACATGTTGAGGAACAGATTTACAGGTAAAAACTAAGTGCATTTGTTCCAAGCGGACACCTGTGTGAACATGCAAGGGTGGCAGTCCATGGCACTGGAATGTGAAGCACAGGTGACATGTTTCTCCATTCTCTCGCTTGCCTGCTGTCTGAAAGGTGAGGCACTGCAGGAAGCTGAGCTAAGACTGTGGAAACATGCCCCAGGCCCATGGAGCAGCACACCCCCGCTGCCCACGGAGGAAAAGATAAGACCTGAGAAAGATAATACCTGGGTGCAGACATCACAGCTCGACGGGGTGGCAATGTCAGACCTTATTTGCCTCTCCTTCAAAATTCCTATCCCTGACTTAGGTTGGGGGCAGACAACCCATTAGTAATTATCTCTCTCTATATATAAAAGTGACTGTTTGACCAGTAGCTATGATGCCCACTGATCACGGTGGGGGGGGGGGGGGGGGGAGAGGGGAAGGAGGAGGTTAGGGATGGGGGAGGAGGAGGAGGGGCATAAACGCTCAATGTACAGGCACGGAAACATAGAACAGACTGATGAATCTCAGAGGGAAGGGGAAGGGGGAAGGGTGGGGAGAGATTAACCAAAGATCTTATATGCATAATGGCCTAAGGGGTCCTGGATTGCAAGAGGGTGTAGGCCAGACTGAGGGACCCCACTGGTGCATGAATTCATGCACTGGGCCTCTAGATAGTTTAACAGGATGATCTAGGTAGCATTTTTATGTCATCAAAATGAAGAGGAGCACAATGAAACGAAAACCAAATTCACTAGTGAAATGATTATGCTAAGTCACAAACTACCGAGACAGGCTTTGGGTCGTCGCTCTCTGTTTAGAATGGAGATTGCATTCCTATTTCATGCCGGCAGAGAAATTCATCAATATTCATCTCTCTGCGGCTGTCACTAGTAAGTAACATTGGTCAGATCAGCCTGCCCAGGATGAATTGGATTCTCCTGGTACCAGCATCACCAAAACACATAGCAGGTGTTGATTCAGGTGCAAGGGTCAAATGAAACAATTTGAATGTTTTTCTTTGTCTCATTATTCAAGGTTTCAAAAATGAGGACAACGAGACTCTGGCATGGGAGGGCGTCATGAAAGAAAATTACCTTGTCAAGACCAACACGAAAGCCAACGACGCCTCAGAGGAGTATGTCCATCCTTGGTTTCTGCTCTGCAAGGTGCTCTGTGTACCCAGCTGGCAGAATGTAGGCAGCTGACTTGAGAGGCTCTGTAGAGAGAAGTTACATCTGAGAGCAATTGCCCAGGCAGTTGTGGATGACAAACAGTAAATGTGGAGTCAGCTTTGCAAGGAGGAGCAAACCACCAGCCTGCTGTTCTGATTGCCCTTCTAGGCCCTGGGGCAGGAGTATTTGGAGTCTGCAGGGCAGGGCCCTAGAACCTGGTGACAAGAGTGTAGGCCCCTCTGCCATGGCTGCAGAGATGGGTTCCGGGAAGACCCTCAGGTAACAGGCAATGGGCATCACCAGGCAGGTGCCACAGAGGTAGTTCTGGGATGGAGTAGAGCATTAGAAGATGGAAAACCATTTGGGTGATGTGTTGCAGACTATCCCTGAGAATTCTGGACATCCTTTATGGATCACATGCAGCAGTTATAAATGTCCCGTAGAACTAGCTAAGCCACTGAGTCCACAGATGGTCCACAAATCATGTGCTATGCAGGGCTATCAGGAGCGTGCCTTTCTTATCATGTGAGCTACATGGGTTATGGTCACATGACACAAATACTAAGCACTCCAAACACACATCAAAATTCACTCTTACAAAAATGAGTAAATCTAGGCAGCACATGAATCCCATGTGTGAGCCTCAGCACAACCATGGGGGAGCATGGGACATGTGCTCTTTCTCTCTGAGTGACAAAGCAGACGCCCCAAGCTTTCTCCATTTCCAGGGTCTGAGACTTCAGAAGGGAGGGATGGATCTTATGGGTCACTTCCACCACTCCCTCCCCATGGGTAGCGTCTATTTGCTGCACTCCTAGCTGGGGTGAGAGTGGAATTCTGCTTCGTGTAGGGAGAACATTTAAAAAGATAACTACAGCTGACGTTGGTTTAGTTGGAAATGCAAATGATCCGTATTTCTGTATTTTTCTCTTTAAAAGACTGAAAAATGGAGCCTAATAGCCCTTTCTCAATCTTTCTCTCTCTCTCTCCTCTCCTTGAAGAATGAGGCATCGGTTTAGACAGCTGGATGCAAAGGTATCGTTTTGTTTATAGTTTGAGAAATATTTTCATCTCTTACCTTTGAGCTTCCAGCAAGAGGCCAGTGGTCATGGTCCAAAATTAGAGAAGTTTATTTTTTAAAAAGCAGATGTGGCTCTGTTCATACTCAGCTTCCCTGTGTAACATTCCCTGGGTGCTGGAGTGAACTTGAGTCTCAGATGCACGAATACACATGTGAGCATTAGGCACAGGGAGAGCAGGCCTGGCCCTGGCATGATAGCCCCTCCACCAGGGTATTGGTCAAAGCAGCCCAGGCCAGCCTGGCTTCAGGTCAGGGAGGAGAAAACCGCTGCTTGCTGAGGGGCAGTATGTGTGTGCAGGGAGAAAGGACCTTTGGAGATATGCTATTATAGCAATGTATCTTATTACAGCCACTCGTTCTCATGTTGTATTGTTGCTAATTTTTAATTGAGGGCCAGGAAGACTCCTAACTTATTAGAGATGAGTATTGCACACAAATGATCATGCTTAAATGTAGATCATGTTTATACCAGAGAGATCAGAAAATATGTAAAGAATATTGAGATAATGTATGAAAGGAGCAATAGGGGATCATATTCTAAGACTATTTCCATTAGACAGGTGCAATATGTACTATATAGAAAACCTTATATGATATATTCGCCTTTCTATATTAAGTATTTATAGTTAAATATATTGTCTGCTGCTTCTATGCTTAGCACAAAGCACATAGAATTTAGTGAGCACCTGCCATGTGCTGGCATGGGGCTGAGGGTCATCAAGGCAGACCTGGCCCCTGGCTCCGTGCCCAGACCCTTGTTCAGTGGGAGCATTTGCAGGCTGACTTGTGCAGCATGGGATTGTGGGAACAATTTCCTATGCGGTATTCTCATGCATTCCAGATTGCTGGTTTGGGGAATACAGGAGCTAGGGGCTTTTCTAGGTGTTGTGTTCGTTGAGAAAACAGGCAGTTTTTGTTGTTGTGTTGTGCTATTTTTCTTGTGGATTCACTTGGGTGTCTTTGGCAGGAGCTGACTGAAAGGGGGGGTTGGGCTGAAGCTTCAGAAGCCACTCCTCAGTGCTGACCTCAGACCCTGCTCTGAGGCATAGAATGGCCAGGATGAGGCAACCATGGGCAGGGCAGAGCCTCGGGCCTCCTGGACACCCGCTGGGTCTGGGCAGAGGTCATCTCAGGCACTGGATAAGCTGACCTGACTCCCAGGGACCAGGGAGACCTTCCCACCAGTGAGGGTCTGGGCAGGGGCACCGTCAGAGGGGACAATGGACCCGAACAGTGGAGGTCGTGGGAGGTGGGGGCTCAGGGAGTCGTATATCATGAAATCATATTGAAGGCTGTTTACCCACATGTGCCAGCCAGGAGTCTCCGGGCACCTCAGCAAAGTGCTTGTAGATTCTGTCTCCTTAGCATTCCCCTGGCTATGTAGCTCACCCCCTTTGCTGGTTCTGCAAGAAGTCCACCTAGGCCATGCATTCTGTAGGTTTGGGAAGAAATAGACAGGTCCCAGGGAAGATTCAAACCTCACAGCACACAGCTGTCCTCACCCATGAGGTTTACTACCTCTCCCCTCTTGTCTTGTTTCCCTGGCCCCCTCTCTTGTTTATTCCCTCCTCTATTTTCTACTCCTCCTCTTCTGAGTCTCCATTTCATGCAGATAAAATTTAGGGAGCATCAACTGTTTCTTTAGTAAGCTCTTTGAGCCTTACCCCCTACTTTAAACAGCTTATTAGAGCCATTCAACCATCAATAAACGCAGAGTTCTCCTCAAAGCCCCTCTTGTGAATAAAGAATCTCTTCACCTTACTGCTATACCAGAAAACAAGGGCACAGATACCTGTAAGTCTGTAAGTAGGGATCTTACTCCACCTTTCTTATGTCAGGGAGCCACTAACCCTTACAGTTTCTTTAAAATAGAAAGTTAAATGAAGAGATTATTACTGAACATAAACCCAAGTTAAACACAGATCTTCCCTGAGTGAGTGATGTAGCAACCAACTGTACACAAATTATGTCTGTAACTTTTACCAGGTGCACAATGATGGCATATAATTTCAAGTGAGATTTGTGCATTTTGTGAAATAAACTTATGAAATATGCATGTATCAAACATAATTTTATTATGCCTTTCACAGAAATTGTTTTACCACTTATCCTGTTTAGGTTTTTGTTTTTGTTTTTGTATGTTTGTTTTTTATGAAGAGGGACAGTTTTCAAAAACTGGATTTATTGGTATTACATATTATTTTTATTAGTATTATTCACATATCAAAGCACAACTTTATTGGTATCTTATAACTGTATTTGTTGTGTATAACATTATTTCTAAATATTATAAATATTATTTCTCTGTGTTGTTAAAATCTATTATTTCTATGTAGGAACCACTAGTGATTTGCATTTGAGTTAAACTAATGCTCACCAATGCAAATGGTCATCTGCTAGTGGTGTGAGTTCGGAAAGTAAGCAGTGGACAGGGTCTGAAATATCACATCCCTTGCTGTCCCATTCCAGGCATGCACCACACGCACTCATAGTCAAATCTATTTCACGGAAAAGCTGTAGAGTGGTAATTTAAAATTCAGAGTTGGAAAATTGATCTTAACACCATTTCTTTTTCTCCCACCACTACCCTCCAAGATTAATGACCTCAAGGGTCTTCTGAAAGAGATTGCTAATAAAATCAAATAAAACTCATGAACCGTAATGGAGAAAATTCTAATAAGAACAAGGTAAGTCATTTTAATGGATTTTTTTTGCTCTAAAAATGAACATATATTAAGACTAATTCAAAATTATGATCTTTTTCTCAGTTATTTTATTTTCATATATTGTCAGATTAGAAAATAATGTGTTATGTAAAAAACGTAAACAATATTGGGTTATAGGAAGGAGAAACCCCTGGTCACACTTCCTGAGCTGGCTTCGCTTTCAGGCCAGAGGGTGCCACAGCCAGCAGCGGGCACTTGTACTCTTCCGGATGTTTTAAAAGCACTGGCAACCCAGACAGCTATTTCGGTATTCAATGAATCAAGGTCACACTGTTCTGAGACTTGGCATTTTCCCCCTTTTTTATCTCTATATCACGGATGTCTTTACAGATTAGTGCCTAAAAGTGCACCTCCTTGTCATGACCCATCATTTATGTTTGCTGCTGTGGGACATGCAAATGTCTGTGTCTTGTTTGTTTTGCTATCAGCAAATATATATTGATCACCTTTTACTACCAAGCATGTTCTAGTAAGGCATTCAATATTTTTTTAGGAATAAACATGAAATTTGATTAACTGGCCAAGTTGAATCTCTCTGGTCTTCCCCTTGGCTTTCATTATGGTTTTCCATTATCTGTCCAGATTCTGAAATCAGTGCTTAAAATGGTGTTGGGGACACAAAGACCTAGGAAAAAAGCAATGGGCATTCCATTTGAGTAGATTTTGTTCTTGAGAAAGTGAATTGTAAAGAATGAAAATCCACAGACTCACTTCCCTCCCTTCCCTCCCTCCTTTCCTCTTTTCATCCCTACCTCCCTTTCTCCCTTCCCTTAATATTTATGAAGTGCCTACTAAGTGCTGAGAGAACTGAACCAGGACCTGTGCTGAGGCACAGACACTGAGTCCTGCCTACACATTAAGTCCACTGTAGAATTTCTATCCACTGAGTGACCATCAGGTCTCTTTCAATATATCTGGACACTCAGTACTTTTCCTTAAGTTCTGACAACTGTAGATCATGTTAACAAACCCTCTATTAGGGGGACTTCGTTGGAATAAGATTAATGCATATTAATCTTGGGTATAGCCTCCCAAGTTGCTCAAGAAAAGAAACTGCATGTTTAGGAAGAACATATTTCAACTCTTTCATAATGGTGTTAAATGAAAATAGTATTTTACCTTATGATAAATTATAATTTGAGTTTTGGAACATTTGTCATTTTGTTTAAGATATGATCTGATATATTTTTTAAAATCAGGAAGAGATAAAATAATTATAATAATTTTTTAAAACCATAGAGGTGAATTAATCAGAAAAGGTTCCAAGATGAGACATATATATCCATATCCATATCTTACAACCCTGATCTCCACATCTCTTATTCTTTTCCAAACGTGTTGACTGTGAGTAAAATGAGAAAACAGATGGGCTTCTTGTGAACATGCCCTTATTACTTAATGAATGGCTGTGACTTGGGAGAAGGACTTCCCTTCATTTCCGGGTGACCCTCCATGAAGGATTAAGATTATTGAGGAAACAGAGGACTCATTCATTCTTGACCACTGTGTCTTTTGGAACAATGAATTGGGTGTGTCCAGTTTTTTGGTAGTCTCTTTTCTCTGGATATAAGATCCATCTTCATTTTGGTTTGATATCTGTCTGACATATCCTAAGGCATTCACTGAAAATGCAGTTTTCTAGGCAACCAGCTACATGCTGTAAAATGTGATTCTTCCTGTGTCTCCTTGGTATGTATCTCTCTCTCCTGAAGGGTGACAGTAACTCTCCTTGGGCAGGGACAGGGAAGAGAAAGCCAACCCAGGTGGGGGTGATCTGACAAGTAGAGATAGGACAGGAGCAGACACTTAGGGGCAGGTCTTTACCCATCGGTTCATCTGGGCTCTTCCTTCCTGAACTCCAGTGACTCAGGATGAAATAGCAGACAGTTGCATGTATATTTCTTTCTCCTGCACTGAGGTTGAAAGAAAGTAAGACCCAAGGTGAGAGGAAAGCCATTTGTTTTCTCATGGCTTTGTACTTAGGACCTGAGGATCCCAGGAGGGATGGTCACTGGAAATTGATTAATCCCCACATAATAATCCATTGGTTCTTGCATTTGCTACACTGAAATTCTAGCTCAGTGAAAGAACTTGACGTTCCTTTGGGAGTCATCATAAAACATCATTTTGAAAATTACCACAGTTCTTAACTTTATTGCCAATGCATCCTTTTATTTATGCAGAAACTGCATAGCAGATACAGTACTTGGGGACTTCCTGCATCATCACCCAGACAGAGGGAGCCTGGCCATTTGGCCCTGCCCTCACTGGCAAAGTGGCAAAATTTGTACCAACAACCAGTGTATTACCAATGTATATGGAAGCAAATTGTAACCTGAGAATGTAAGTGGGGAATTCATTCTCCACACAGTGTTCTTTCTTTGTTCCCACAGACCTCTGAGTGGAAAAGACACAAGGAGGCTGAAGAACCCCTTGGTTACTGAATGAGAACTGCTCAGCTGGGGGTTTTGAGCACCTGTGTGCTTGAACCTGAAGATGAGACGTGTGATGAACTTCACTGGAGAAGGTGGAGATGAAGGAAGACCACCTCTATAGTGCTCCCCTGAAGGCTGCCTGTTACCTCAGGGCCAGCACTTGCTATTATTGATGGTTTCAAAGTCTGCTCTCTCTTCTGCCTGTACTCCCCCCTTGGCCATGCCTGTCCTAGGAGAACATGCCTCCTCAGAATAGTAGCCTGGCCATGCTTTCCTTCGTTGATCTCCAATCAGTTCTCCATTATTTTCCTTTTTGTATCATGTGACTAATTCGTTGGCATATTGTGAAAATCTCCCAAATCAGGTCACATTTTAAAACATGCCGTTGCAGGAAGACCCCACTCTTCCCAGGAGAAACTTTCCTCGCCTCATTCAGCTTTTTATCTCAAAGGCGTGGCAAACCTGCACCCTTTCCCCTCACTTACCTGAAGCTCCAGCCAAAGGAAGCACCCCATTCCTGACAATGTGCAAATCACCCCAAAATGGAGCTTTGAGAGGCACCTCTGCTTTTCATTGGGTGCTTCTCTCTCTCCTCTTATATATTATTTTTCCATTAAAAATAACTCATGGGAATTATAGAAAATTTAGACTACATGAAAAAGTAGGAAAGATATAAATAATCCCACTACCTAAAGATAATCATTGCTACCATTTCAGGAGGCTTCTCCATGTCTGTTCCTATGCATGTTTTCTCTCTCTCTTAAAATTTTACATAATGTCATTATGCCATATACACAATTTCATATAAGCTTTTATCAAAGATGTCTTCTTATAGTTGTGGCCTTCTTAAACACTACATCAATAATGGCAAATATTCAGCCTCTAATGAGCCCCACAGGCTTGGTCACCGAAGGCTGGCTCCAGTAGGTCAGTGGGTTGAGCATCTCTGTGCGTGAATCTCGCTGCCACTGTGGAAATTTCCCACGGCTCGATCCCACAAATATGTATTAATGATCAAACCACTTACAAGGCTTTTTCATAAATGCACAGCAAATAGGAATTATTAACTTGAGTAGAAGATAGGAGATATGTGAACCTAGAGCTCTTAACATAAAATATATTTAATCTTTAGGAAGAAGCCAATGTGCTTATTTAAATATTACTCATGGTGAAGGCATTGGTAGAGAATTGGTGAGAATATCTTATTGAACAGGCCTGGTCCCAGCTTTCTCTGGAACAGGTGGTATCGTCACCCCAAAGAGATGGGCTGGCAGTACATAAGGCAATTCCAAATGCCCATAGTTAGTTTTCTCAGCTTTGAATAGAGCTATAAACTCAGTGGCCAAAGAAGAAAATCTTAGAAGGAAGCTATTAAAAGATAATCTAATTAGAAAAACTACAAAAGCATGAACCAAACGAACAAAACAAAACAAAACTGCTTTCCTTTTGTCTAGGCAGCATACTTAAAATGACTCCTCACAGCATTCATGCTGCCTGCAGGAAGGAGCACAAATAACAGGATTTGTGCTTCAATCCCATTAATGGCCTAAAAGGGAATCTTTGTCAATAGGGTCGATCAATTCAGGGCTTTGGACACTGGAAATAGATGGGATCAAATTTACATGACAAACACTGTCAATGAATGGCATTTTGGAGATTTCTCTGAGAGAGAATGCCACTTCCATTTCACCATGGCAACCAGAACCTCTGCTTTTTTTCTGAAGCCACAGAGAGGAGGCTTATGTCATCTCCACACTAACCGGAACAATAAAGCACACAGCACTGCATACGATCGTGCAGAGAGGACCCACAGTCCCAGGCCCATACCCTCAGTTCAAGTAGGAACTTTGAATAAAATCAGTACATTAAATTGAAAACCTCCCAGAAGACAAAATTGAGCACAACTCTTGGCTGATCCCCTTAAATTAAGCACATGTCCATATTTTCATATTTCCACTGGCTGTGTTTTTGTTAGTTTAACACAGGCCTATGTGTGTATCACCATCAGCAGCTAGTGAAGGTCTCTGTTGACACTGATATCAGTGCTTGCTCAATGCTCAGAATTCACTCGCATTTGTGAGAGAGGGGTGTTTGTTGTAGCTTGTGTTTTTGCAGGGCCAGTCTGTTTGTTTGTTTTTTGTTGTTTTTCTCTCTTTTTTTTTTGCATAAAGAAGTCATTCTTTTCGGTGTTGCTCATGAAAATAGCGCAGGTATTGAAGTACCTCTTATCCAAGGTGCTGTCTGTGTGGTTTTAAAAGCGCCCTGTGTACCTGTCCACAGCCACTGATAGTCCAGCTTGGTTTCAATGAGTGGGTTAATGAATTAAATAATGGAAGAATTGTCATGTGTTGTTCTTGTCATTTTTTGAGAGTGAAACAAAGAGAATTCCTCAGTTTGTTCAGGTTTATTTCTGTAGGGACTTGGTTCTGGTGACTGGAGCTGACTTCTCAAAGAAGAGGGCTTGAGTGAATGCAAGCCATGGCCCCCGTGGCTGTGGGTCCTGCCAGCATGACTGGGTTTGCCATGGCCCACCTTTTGTCGCCCTGATTAGACTCCCACCTGTAGCCCAAGGTCTCCAGCTTCACTGACCCAGAGCCACGCCCCCACCCCACCCCCCATGCATTCCTGGCTATTGAGACAACAGAGGTCTCCTGCAGGCTCACAACAGGTGATGCCCCTTGTGCCCAGCCCCAGGCGATGATGAAGCTGGTCCATCATCACTGAAGCAGGGTCCCCCTGCTCTTAGGCCACATTTGCTTCACGGAGAGTTGGGGACCTCTGTGTGTCATTCCTCCCACCCACCCTGCTTCTTCTCTGTCCTCTTGGGACTGAACCTTGTGGTCGTCATGGATACACTCCCTGCCCAAGCCTCTGTTTCAAAAACAAAAAGCTCAGAACTGGGGCTCCCAGCCGTGCTGGATATGGGAGGTGATCCCAGTCAAGGCACGAGTAGATGAGCCCTTATTCTCTGAAGATGGACATTGTTGGGAAAAACAGCCTTAGGTGGCCTCTCCAGGCACTGCTCAGACCTGAGCAGACACTACTGAGGCACAGTTGGTTTAGAGTCAAGCTGGGGCTTTGGGGGCTGCATGAACACATTCATAGCATCCTTTTATAAACATTCCCCCTACCGAGCTCTTTTTTGACAGGAGGAATTTCCTGTCTAGTAGGTGCTGTGCCAGGATTCAGGACTATGGGACCCGCAGTGGGTTTTCTGACAGGTTGCAGGGCCGGGACTCAGAACCGTGGGGCACAGTGGCTGCTGAGAATCCCAGCTTTGCTGTTTGCTTTACTAGTCTTTGTCGTGCTGAATTTTGAGGTGGGGGATGGTGTTTGCAATGATTTTGTATCGATGAAAGGGAAACTCCAGTGCTCATTTGCCTTCTTGCTTTCAAGTAAGTATGCAGGAGCTATGAATGCTCCAAGCCCTGACTCCCCAGGCCTGTGGTCACTCTGGCCCCCAGGAGGCTAGAAGCCAGGAGTCCCTGTCCCTGCCTCCTCCATCCTCTTTTCCCCTAAATGTCTCCCCCTTTCACTCCAGCGCTGGCAAATGGCTCTGATGTCTGGTCAGTTTTTCTTGGAGATGAGTGATGGATAAAAGAGAAACTGGCCTGTGGGTTGATGGGGAGAGCTTTCGCCTCCAATTTCACTGCTCATGTCCTCCAGACAAGCCTGATTGAAGTAATACCACTGCAAAATGGAAATCACCCCCGGCTCCCTCTGCTTTGCCGGAATCTGCCGCACTTGGGGATTATTCCAGAAACAGGCTTCCTTGCAAACCTCGCTGTCAGCTTCGTTCAGGTGGATAAGGCAATTTAATGGAGCTGAGCCACGTGCCTTCAGCGACCCAGAACGGAAGACATTGGGGAGTTCCCAGCTCTGGGCGGGGGCAAGGGGGAAGGGTCGAGGGAGGGGGGGCAGGACTTCTGCACCCCTCGGGTTTCCCTGACAGCCCACCTCCCCAGGGAGGCCCAGGCACCGCACATCAGCCTCCTCTGCTCCCTGGGAGACCCCCGCCCCTCACATCAGACCTTGGCGTCTCAGGAGGCAGGAGGATTTCCTTCCACAGGAGAGTTGTTTCCAGGCTGGGAGGATGATTTTCCTTCCACTCCACTCTGCCTTCCAACCCCAGAATCCTGGACATGGTCCCTGCTTTTTTAAGGTTTCCGCTTCGGATCCTCCTGTCACTGACAGTGTCTCTCCCCAGTAAAGAGAGGGGAGGCATTCCTGTTCCAACAGGGAGCACATTTGACTTGGATGGAGCACTTTGCGCTCAGAGAAGGAAGAAGCATTCCCTTTCACGGAGCACCTGCCTCTGTCCCCGGTGCCCAGATTAATTCTGGGTCCTCGTGTTCTCAGTGGACACCCGCAGGTGAGAGTGTCCGTCCCTATATAGCTCTCACTAGAGAAAGGACAAGTGGAACTAACCCACTGCCCAGGCTGTGCCCTCTGAGTTGCTAGATTTTGCCATCCCTGGCCGAGCTCACCTGTGCTCAGAACACCCGCGGGTCTTTTCCTGGCCATTTGGGTCACGGGGTATTTCTGTGAATGGGACAGGGACTCAGGGACAGACATGAAATGATGGTAGTAGCGATTTTCCTCCTCCCACCAGCTGCCTGGGAAGATTCTGGCTTGGTTCACACGCCACTAGTTCTGGTGGGGTTGATTCTGGTGGTGGGATTATTAAGGAAACTTATTTTTTGCCAAATAGATATAAGCAAAACGTTGTGTGTCACCTTTAGACATTGTCCTTAAAGAGAAGAGGCTCTTCCTTCTTTGTTCTTTCCTTAAGCAAATTGCATGAAACAAATTGTGATGGCTGGAGCTCCAGCAGCCGTTTTGGACCATAATGGCAAGAATATCTTGAAGGAATCTAGGTTCCTGGTACCTGGGGAGTCATCAAATAACACTGGGATGCTTATCATTACACTTTTTTTTTTTTAATGTGAGAAATAAGCTTTTATTTAATTTAACCCAATATTGGATTTTTGGTCACATGAAGATGAAGCTGATTCAAACTGACCCTTCTTTTGCTTTGCTAATTCCCTTGGTTTGGTGGAGGACATCCTCTTATCAGTCATGGATGATCAGGAAATAAAAATAACTATATGGATTACAGGCATAAAGGATTTCTACAGGAAAGAAATTATTAAATCATTACTTCACAATTTTAATCAAAATTAATTCCAAATGCATTAAATAATTAAAATGTAAAAAGGGAAATTATAATATGCTAGAGCCCAGTGCATTAAATTAAAGCATGGTTATGGTCCCTACGTCTGGGCAGCAATCAGGGCCAATTTGGGCCTTCTGGCCACCAACTGGGGCCTTCCTTCCTTCATTCCATGCTGCCCCCTGGTGGTCAGCGTATGTCATAGTGAGCAAGCGGTTTCCTGGTTGAACTCCCACAGGGACAATTTGCATGTTAGGCTTTTACATATATAGATAGATAAATATGAGATTTTAAACTTGAGGAAGATTTTCTAGAGATGAGACTAGAAGAGAAAAAAATCAGTGGATTTAAAACAAAAATAATAATTTTTATAGGACATACAACACCAAAAACAAAATTAAAAAATAAATTAAAATGAATAGGAAGCCATAGTTAAAACTTGGGCTGCTGATCAAAAATTCTTGCCTTTCACCAGGGTTTCCCAACCTTAGTACTGTTGAATTTTTGGCAGGATAATTCTTGGTTATAGGGTTCTGTCCTGTGCACTGTAGGATGTTCAGCAGCATCTTTGGCTTCTACCCACTAGATCCTCAGTAGTATCCTTTCTTCTAGTTGTTGATGAGCCAAAATGTCTCCAGAGGTTGACATGTGTCCTGAAGGCAAACTCACCCCTGATTGAGAATCACTGCTCTACACCCATAGTTCTCACACTTGAATCTACATCAGAATCACCTGGAGGACTTGTCAAATCCAGTAGCCTAATCTTCTCCCTAGGGTTTCTGATATAGCAGGTCAAGGGTGGGTTTGAGACTCTCAGGTGTTGCTGAAGTTTCAGGCCTGGGGACCACACTTTGAGCACCTCTGCTACTACTTTGCTTGCAAATACACATGTCATCCCCTAAAAAAATAAAAGTAATAATGATAATATCGACATTTCCAGTACATGGAAAGGTTGGGACTACAGGCAATCAAGGTATATTTTGACAGTGGAATTCATCAGTTTAGAAATCATGTTATCACAAAAAATTGGAAAATAGCTCTAAAATTTGTGTTTTATAATCAGATAAAGACTTAATTTACATAAGCGATACAAGCTTAGTGATTTTTCTTCAGTGATATTACTAGAGAGATGAGCAAAATGAAAAGAAACAATCAAGAGAAATTATATTAATGATCGCAAAGAATCTTATTAGTCTACTAGAGGCCTGGTGCACAGATTCCTACACTGTGGGGGGGGGGGTCCCTCAGCCTGGCCTGCGCCCTCTCACAATCTGGGACCCCTCAGGGGATATCGGAAAGTCAGTTTCTACTCTCTACAGGCCAGACCAAGGGGCCCCACGAATCCATGCATTGGGCCTCTAGAATGCATATAAAATCTTTGGTTAATCTCTTCCCACCCTCACTCTTTCCCCCTTCCCTCTGAGATTCATCAGTCTGTTTGTTTCCATGCCTGTGGTTTCTGCTCCTGCATTGAGCATCTGCCCCCTGGTGGTCAGTGCACATTATAGGTACTGGCCGGTCAGCTGGTCACTTAGGCAATATATATATGTATGTACATTCATTTATTGAATGATAGGAAGACCGTTTAGTTATAATTTCTTAATTATTTTATAATATAGATGATATGGATGTCCACCCATCTTTAGTCGACCATTTGTTAATTGCTTGTTAAGCTTCATATTATAAATTTTATATACATTTTCAGGGACTATGTAAGTAAAAACTATACAACCCTCTTCACTTAGTGCCACATAATTTTAATACCTTAATTAAGTAATTTTTGTTGGAACAGCAGAAAACTGCTGGAATGAATTCCATACAGTTTTTGCAGATAGAAACAAGAATAATGGAATAAATCATTATGGCCTGAATTTCAATGGATAGCTTACATTTAATCTTCTAGGTTTAGCAGACGTGACCGAACTCTTGCAGAGGCATTTTTAGATCATCACTTTTGAGCACTGAGAAATGAAATGATCCGTCAATGCACCAATGAGCTACAAGCAAAATCAATAGTCCTGCGCCAGCAACCTTGTTTTATTGTTGTCTCCTTAATCTCCTCTACTCTTTTGCAATTGCTTTCATTATTACTGCTCATTTAATGAGACCCTGGAGTTTGGAGCCAGGTGGTGTCGATAGTTAAATCTGGAAGACTCTAATGGAATTGAGTTCAAACCAGGTTAAGAGTAATAGAATTACAAATCTTTAGTGCTCATCATCTCATAGCACATGCTTTGTGCAACTTCTATACACCAGAACTTGCTGCAGGCTCCAAACAGAAAGACTTGGGTTCAGAGAGACTAGGTGTGCTCATTAATTAATTAATTAATTAATTAAACAAATACTTAATTATGTTCCTATCTGGGTATTGCAGTTTTGTATACACAGGACAGGCATGGTCTCTGCCTCATGGAGCTTATAGTCTACTTGAGTTGGGTCTACTTGGAGTTGGGGAAAGCAAGAAAAAAAGCCACTATTACTTGTTGGAAGAAATAATGTATAAAAGGCTATGGAAGTGGTTGGCAAACTGCAGCTCACGAGCCATGTGAGGCTCTTTGGCCCCTTGAGTGTGGCTCTTCCACAAAATACCACGTGTGGGCACGCACATACAGTGTGATTGAAACTTTGTGGGGCACGCTCAGAAGTCAGTTTTTGGCTCTCAAAAGGAATTTCAATCGTTGTACTGTTGATATTTGGCTCTGTTGACTAATGAGTTTGCTGACCACTGGGCTATGGCATGGAAGTCCTTCGGTGTCCCAAAGAACTTCAAGGACACCTATCTAGTTGGAACCTAGTTGGGGAAAGAGGGAGGTCTGTGATGAAGCCAGAAACTACTGGGGAGCTGCATTGGGAAAAGGGCATTTAGACACTGAGATTATCCAGGTGAGGTTTTAATACACCTTTAACACACCTCCCTCATGTGCCGATGAGTGAGACTTACAGAAAGAACACCTTTGGGTTCAGAGCAGTAAATATGTGTGGTCCAGCGAATATGTAAAGTCTGAAGCGTGGTTTTGAACTTGGGCAGAGGGCAGGCAAAACAGGCAATATTTTTATTAATAAAGTTGCTTTATGTAGCAGCAATAATATAAAATTTGTATCATGGCACTTTATTTAAAAATATATTTTTATTGATATTTTTACAGAGAGGAAGAAAGAGGGATAGAGAGTTAGAAACATCGATGAGAGAGAGTCATGGATTAGCTTGCCTCTTGCACACCCCCCATTGGGGGTGTGCCCGCAACCAAGGTACATGCCCTTGACTGGAATCGAAGCCGGGACCTTTCAGACCGCAGGCTGACACTCTATCCACTGAGCCAAATCGGTTTCGGCGCTTCATGGCACTTTTGATAAGACACATCTGTCATGTTCAGTATACCCAGAATCTCTTTCTCCTCCTCCCCCTCCTCTTCCCTCTTTTCCTCCTCCTCCTCCTCCTTTTCCTCCTCATACCCAGCCATGCCTGGCCAGCCTCTGGTGAACATTACTGTACTGTACACCTTGTGCCCTCCCCAGTGGTTTCCTTTCTGTTCTTTCTTCTTGGCCTGAATCTCCACCTTTCTTGTTGGACACCTCTGCATCCATCAAGGCTTAGTTCACGAGACATGTGACCATCTGGGAACTGAGGTCAGGAGAAGTGAGTGAATGCCAGTGTCCCCACCATCTCTAGGCTTCTTATAGCAATTTATGCTTCCAGTGCCGGTACTTACATTTGCGTTGTTTAAGCAGGTGAGCTAGCTGATTAGTTCATTTAGACATCCTCTACAGTAATTATTGTTGCCTTAAACTAGCAGATACTAAGAATACTTACTGAATTGAATTCTTACAGCAGTTACCATTTATTGAGCAATTAATTTTCCAAGCACTCTTTTAAGGGTTTATGATTTAATCTTTATGTGATGCTTAATTTTATGTGCCAACTTGGTCATGGTGCCCAGATATTTGGTCAGACTTTATTCTGAATGTTTCTCTGAAGATATTTTTTAGATGGGATTAACATTTAGATCAATAGACTTTGAGTAAGTACATTAATCTCTGTAATGTGGGTAAACTCATCCAGTATGTAGAAGGCTTTAATATTACAAAGACTGACATCCCTGAGCAGGAAGGAATTTTGCCAGCAGATGGCCTTTGGACGTGAGCTGTAACTCTTCCCTGTGTCTCCAGCCTGCTGGCCCACTCTGCAGATTTTGGACTTGCTAACCTCTCCCATTGTGTGAGTTTATTCCTTAAAATGTATGTGTATAACCTGTAAACATAAACATTTATATATAAACATAAGCATATATGAACATAATACATGTGTTATGATATATATATATATATATATATATATATGTTTATATATTTATATATATTTACACATTGAGTGGCCAGATTATTATGATCTCTAAACACATAATAATTTGAACACTCAGTGTATATCGTATATAATAAAAGGCTAATACGCAAATTGTTCCCTCGACCAGGAATTCAACCAGCAGGCAGGCCAGCCAACCACCCATGACCCCTCCCCCTTGCCAGGCTGGCCAGACCCCTACCCATGCACGAATTTATGCACTGGACCTCTAATATATATATATTTGCCTGATTATTATGTGTTTAGAGATCATAATAATCTGACCACTGAGTGTATATCCTATTGATTCAGTTTCTCCCTGACTAATCATATACCTTACATCTAACCATTTCTATCTATTTTATAGATAAGGAAGTTGAGGCTCAGAGGTGTTGGGTCCCATGACCAAGGGTCCATTCCTGACAAGTGTGGAGCCAAGGAATTCCAGGTCTTCCTAAGCTTCAGCACTATACATCTTCTTTACGTGAATTCTAAGCATGAGAACACGAGGACCTGCATGTCACTCAAACTATATTTGCTCTCAAGTATCTCTTCTTTTCAATGGTTCATGAGTGACCTTGGGATTTTGTAGTGCACAAGAACCATCAATATGCAGACACCATGCTGTCCAGGAGAAGCGCAAAAATGCCCATTGGCAGAGAAGGCTGGTCCTTGTTGGCATATTAAATTCTGTAGATCAAATTATCTTCTTTGCAGTTATAATCCCCAGAAATGCCTTGAAAGAACTACACACCTTTCATAAACAGCCAACTGCAACATTTTTAGGAACATGAGAGGGGACTAAACGGACAATTGAAAACGAAGTTTTATTGAAAATAAAATATACCCCTTCCCTCCAAAAAAAATGGGATGAAAACAGAGACATAAGCTGTGCATGTGAATGAAATTAAAACAGAAAACAAACAAACAAACAAACAAACAAAAAAACAGCGTACACACGAAGCCCTGAGCCTCTTGCTGTCTTTGCCATCGGCTAAAGTCCCAGGTTGAGGTCACAACTTCAAAGTGGCCTGGCACCTTTCCATAGGAAAAAGCAGCGGTAAATATTCACCCTGGATCAATTGTTTCTGGTTAAGCTCCAGACCGCCCAGTCAGAGAGAGCAAACTGGGTCGCGGCCTATAAATAAAGTGCCGCTCTCTGGAGGACTTGCTGTCCTCTGACGTGCAGACACACTCTCCAGGGCTCTGAGTGAAAATTATTCTTCCCCGCACAGAGAAGATGGCGCTGAAGACATTATTGGTCATGACTGTTCTTGGAATGAGCATCTGGTCCTGTGCAGGTAGGCAACTCAGCTCCACTCAGTTTGGGGGGGGTCCTGGCCCATGCACCTGACAAATGATCTCACTGTGTCCCGCCTGCTTGCATGCCCAGGTTTCCCGGTGTATGACTACGACCTGGCCTCCCTGCGGCAAGCCCTGGACGCCTCGGTGGCAGAAGTGAACGCTCGGTCCCTGAGCCCGTATCTGTTCCGGGCATTCAGAAGTTCCATAAAAAGAGTAAGCGCACAGTGCCTCTCCCCCAAGCCTCTTACTACTGCGTTCTGCCTTTGTTCTTTGGTCAGTGCATTGGGTACACTTTTTAAAAAATATTTTGTCAGGTTTAAATGATAACAGCTAGTCATCTCTTTCAGACAATTTTTGGCAGAGAAAGGATTTAATTAAGATTCTGCCACAGACTCTCGAGTCTCGCTGGCCCCATTGCCCGTCTCCAGACGGTTCCTGCCGAGCATCCTGCCTTTGTAGCCTGTGTCCCCGTGGCTCCTCTTGAAATCCTTTATTAAGAACTTCTCATTTATTAGAAATGAGGCCTTTTCAAGTTCAGCAGTTCTGCTTCTAATATTTATTGGAAATAAATCCTGGCTTTTGAAATAAAAATACACCCTTCCTTTGTCAGTTTAGTGGAAGTCTGTTTCCTGTTAGCTTTGGAAGTAGGGGAAGATGAATTTTCTTGGGCTTCCCTTGACTAAGTCTGTGACAGGCAAAGAAGGAGAAGCAGATATATCCTTCAAAGGAAATGAGAGTGTGGGCAGCAAGTCGCCTGCCCCTTCCCCGTCCCCAGGGGATTTAGTCACCTAAAAGGTTCCTGTGCAGAGAAGGGCAGAAATGCCCTCAAGTTGGTTTCAGTGAAGATAGGGGGTGGGACAGGTTCTATGAATTACCGGCCACATGGGAGGGAACAGAGGTGCCCTCTCAAGTCTGCCTGCTCGCGTCTCCCATCCTGGCTGGGTGCCGCCTTCGCTCATGCTTAGCTTGTTCCATGTGGCTCATGGTTTCTTAGCCCCAGTCTCCAAATACACCATGGTCATCTTGACCCTTCTTCTTCAGAGAATGGCTCTGTGTCTCATTTCCAGAGTCCCAGGAAATAAATCGAATTGTCCCAGCTGTCTTTTCTAATTGGGCCATAGGTCACGAGAACGATGGACTATGCTTTAGTTAGGTGTGCAGCCAGAAAGGGGACAGGCGGCCTGGAAGTTGTGATGTGGGGTCACTGTGAGATGCATTCCTTGCACACTGGCTCGGGTGGCTGTGGTGTGGGGAAATCTATGTCCTCTTTCCAACCTGCAGATGAACAGTTTAAATTTGCTTGTAATTTAGCCTTGCTCATGACAGAAGAAAGCCAGGGCTTAACTAAATGAATAAGAGCATGAGTACAGGTCCTGAGAGAGTCAATTACAGACAGCATGGAAGTCTGGCCCAGGGAGATGAGCTGGTGTGAGGCAGAGCTACCCAGCGCACATTCCATCATGTGACCATCTTGGTACAGACCTGTGCCCAACACACATGCACCTGCAAATCAGCACACTTAACGTACGTGTGTGTGTGATCCTTAATGAGTTTATAATTAAGTGATGTCCCACCACATCCTGTATGCTGCTGTTCTGTCTGGAAGCTGCCTATTCTTGCCTCTCTCTGGACTTTTCTGATTATTGAGATTCATTGGTCAGGCAACAATCACTACGCCCCTTCCATGAAAACTTCACCTGTCCACAAACGACTGCCAAAGGACCCTGAGTGTCGAAATTTGGAGTTACAAATAAATTTTAGTGAGTGGGCAAATTTGCAAGTATGGAATCTGTGAATAATGAAGATCAATTATACACGCTTCCCTTGGAGTTAGGACCCCGAAGGGCTGGTTCCGTCTTCCCCCTGAAGTGCCGTGTGCCTTTGGCAAAGCACCTTTCCTCTGGGCATGAGCATGAGGGCACGAGACCAGGTGATGGCTGAGATGACTGGCAGCTGTTTTTACTGGCGGAAGATTCCGAAATGTTTTCTCCCTGTGCAGGGAGAGACTGTGCTAACATTGTGAATTTCAGAAACTCATCAGTGGCAGACTGATGCTTTGTTTTTGTGAAGGTCAATGTTCTGGGTGAGAATAACTCGAGCTTGGATATACAATTCAGCGTTCGAGAGACCACATGCAGGAAGGATTCTGGCGCAGACCCTGCCACCTGTGACTTCCAACCTGGCTACTATGTGGTAAGTGTGGTGGGAAGAGCCACCCTCCTCCCCACCCCCACCCCCAATCCCACAAACTGACAGGAGGCAGTACCTTGTCTTCTTCCGTGATTGTCACAGCAAGAGCTTGGCTGTTGCCTGTTGATCGGCCACAGTGGAGGCACTAAGTGTGTCCAGGCTGTATTCCCCGGATGGAGGCAGTGTTGCTTAGTGGTTGAGGACTTGAACTCTGGGTTACATGGTCCTGAATGATCCTGGCAAATTATTTTGCCCCTGTTGCCTTAGTTTCCTGCTCTTTAAAATGGGGATAGTGATGATTCCAAGCAAAGGAAATACAACGAGGCCAACACCAAACAAAAATCCCAGAGACATTTCACCTACTTAAAATAATTTTAAAACACTACTCGGGAGAGTCACATTCTTTTGCAGTTGACTGTTGTGTAATATCTGTCTCCCCCACTAGCATGGACTCCATTGGGAATAAATGACAGGAATAAATGTAGGACCATGCATGTTTGGTTTGTATCCCAGTGACCAGAACATGGTTCCACACTTGGTTCGCACCCATGGGCTGCTCCATCAAACCAATGATGGCTTTCCAAGGCGTTTGCGATGACGTGTACGTGTTCTCAGGCCTTTGTTACACGATCGTTTTATGTTGGGGTTGCTTTACAACGATGTAAATTCTGAAAAAGAATCCTTTGTTTCGAGACTTTTCACCAGGAGTATTTTACAAAGGACCTCAAACCCCAAGTGTCAGAGCAAATGAAATCTGGAGCCAAAGGAGAACCTTGAGGTTCTTCTCACTTCTTTTTGCTCTAGTGGGAAAGGTTTCAGGACAGCCCCTCAGTGCTCATGCAGGAACATCTGCTTTCCTGGGGCTCATAATGTATCATATGCCTAAGAGATATTTAAATATTTCATTTTTCTCCTTAGGTATTGAGAAACTTTCATTTTGGAAAAATGAAATGCCTCTGTTAATTTTTCCTATCTGTCTGCATCATTTTGTCCAGCCCTACCATAGTCCTGGTTTCTTGGACAGGTCTAACCCTCTGTGAGCTGCTGGAGGTACAGCTCATTGCTTTGCATTTTCCAGCCAGCAGCCTCTTGCAGAAGCACCGTGTGGATGTCTGCTGAGCAGGTGCAGGACGTGTGGGTTTTTTGCAGCTGGTCCTCCAGCTCCGAGTCGGACAGCAGTGAAGAGGTATGACTGGGCCTTGGTGTCCATCAGGACAGTTCCTCGTAGGGTCTGTGTGAATCTGTGACAGATTGCTGTATTAGTGTAGTCGGAGCATCACCCAGGTATGGGCAAGCAGAGCTCTGCTTGCTCAGCTGGATTCTTTCTTTTATACCTACAACCTCTTACTTCCTCCAGCTTATCCTCTGTCTGCATCCATCTATCTATCTATCTATCTATCTATCTATCTATCTATCATCTACCTATCCATCTATATCTATTTCTATCTCGCTGTTTCCCCAAGATTTGTGAAATTAGCAAATCTTCAAAGTTTTAGACTTAAGTATGCACTCACTGGTCCTGTGGTTCAGTGGAACAAAGAGGGACATTTTTGCTGGACCAGAGGTCAAAATTATTTGCTAGCTCTGCAATCTAGGTCAGGGGATAGGTTGTTGACCCAACCAGGGAGGGATGGGCAAGGAAGACCAGGTCTTGCATCTCGTACATGACAGTGTGTAGTGAATGGCAGGACACATTCCTTCCTTCAATCACATTGAAATTAATTTGAATGTTGTTGATTTGCATGGTGTTGAAGTATTTGTTGAATGAATTTTTTAAAACTTAGGAAGAAATGGTCAGGAATATGGTATGACTCTAACTAGGGTAAAAACGTGACTATTACATTATTTGTTTATTCATAATGGGATAATATTCTTGACAAGCATTTTTAAAACATTTCTACCAGTATACAGCTGGTATTTTTACTTATCTACTCATATTTTATTCAATTTTTTACAATTTAAATTTGTAGTGAGAATTACATTAAAAGAGTATACAATTTCAACTTCAAAAATTATACATAAAAATAATATTCTCATATTATTAACATACCCAATGCTTTAAATATTTTGTTTGGAAGTCCATATTATTTATTTATATTTAGTTTTTAGTTTTTTAAATTTGTTTTTCAATTACAGTTGACATATACTGTATTAGTTTCAGGTGTACAACATAGTGACTAAACATTTATATAACTTACAAAGTGATCACTGGATAAGTCTCGTATTATTTATGAAAATCTGTTTTAGGATTAGGAAGTAATGAAAGAGGTGATGAGAACTCCTGATATGGGTGGTGGTGTTACTGGCACAGGTAGAACTTTCCCCAGGTTGTTAGGACCTTTTCCACACACTGTTTAGTTGAGCATAACCTTGTGAATTGATCTTGTTCACACTGGCTACTTTTGAGGATCAATACCCAGGTGATTTCTGGGAGAATTGCCCCAGAGTCCTATTCCCTTGGTGATATGACAATACCAAGGGCCTCCTTTTCTAGACTTCATTAAAATATCTAGAAAGTCAGATATGTTTCACACTTCACACACTCACATGCTCACTGCCCAGCTAGCTCAGAAGTGACAGGGCCACAAATATCATTTCACCAGCATTTTATTGGAATTGATTTTGTGGTTTCTGTGGAGAAAGCTAGAGAGATAGTGAAGAGCAAGACAAGCATAGTTCTGTCCTTTGTGGAGTGTATAGATGAGTCTGGGTGATGTCTGTTAAGCAGGGGTGACCAGGCAAGTATTGGGGAGTACATAAAAGAAGACAGATTAGTGTGTCCCAGACAGAGAGAGCTTCCCAGGGAGCTGATATTCAACCCAAGAACTGGAAGGTTGACATCAGGACAGAAGGGACAGGAGGTGGAGGGAAGGGAGAAAGAAATTCCAAGCAAAAGGAGATTACGAGGGAGTTCCCTGAAATATGACAGAAGTTGGTAGATTTAAATGGACAGAAATCCATGACTGGAATGAGCAAAATGCAGAGAGAGTGGTGGGGGTGTGGGGCTGGACAGGACCACAGCCAGTTCAAGATAAAGCCTCATTGGTCATGTTGAGCATCCCTGGCTGATCAGAATGGCAATGGGGCTATTGAGGGATTGTAAGTAGGCCAGTGACAGAATAGATGAAGAGTAGATTGGAACTAGCTAAGGGTAGATGGGGGCTAGGCAGGACAAGTGAGCGAGAATGCTGCCTGGGTTTGGGAGTTAGTAGTGAATGTTGAGAGAAAGGGATTCTAGTTTATTCTATGATCTTTGACACAATTGAAATTAATTTAATAAGTGGTCATCTAAATTAACCCCTCCCTCTTCCGTGTCTGATTTGGGAAGTTGATTCTGATTGTGTGGGCAACCCAAAACTCTTGTTTTCTGTTTTTGTTTTAAAATATTTTTATTGATTTCAGAGAGAGGAAAGGAAATGGAGAGAGAGATAGAAACATCAGTGATGAGAATCATTGATTGGTGGCCTTCTGCACTCCCCCTACTGGAGATCAAGCCCACAATCCAGGTATATGCCCTGACAGGAAATTGACCTTGACCTCCTGGTTCATAAATCAATGCTCAACCACTGAGCCATATGGACTTGGCACCACAAATCTTTCTAATTGCAGAGTGAAGACACACTCATTGTTCTCCCATCTCACATTTTGTAAGAAGACACTGACATTAAGTTAAGTTAGCTCCTGAAACAAACACGATTTTTATATAAACTCTCAGGTTGCTATTCCTGGAAGATTAGGAGATTGAGATTGTTAAGAATTTTGATCCAATTAAAAAAAATTCCTTAAAAAAAATAATTTCTTAAATTAAAAATGCTGCAATTCAAAAGAAAGAGAAGAAAGCAGATGGAGTTTAAAGTAATTCCTGGAAACTCTGAAATAGATTTCTTACATGATACAGAAAAAAAAATTAGAAAATAACTGTTAACCATTTTCAGTGAAATAAATGGTGATACTACAAACATGAAAGATGATAGAGTAGATGAATTTAGACATGGAACAAATAAACCATTGTTGGAAATAGGAAATAGAAAAAATAAAAGACACATGAGTCAAGAAAATAAAGACTACTTGACAAACATGTAGAATACAAAAGAATTTCCAGGAAAAGGAATATAATGTAAAGAAAGATTTAACCATGGAGAATAAGGCTGAAAAAAAATCAAATTTTATAAAAAAGGATTTAGATTAAATGGAGAATATCTGGTAAGAAGTGGCCTTGAATATAAGAAATTTGGATTTTCCACTATATAATTTTTAAAAACTATAAAGACATTTGAGGAAATAAATGTCTAAATTTGCTAAAAGTATCTTCTCCTTAATCAAATAGATATTTGAATCATAGGTAGTCTGTGTTATTTTTTTCATTTTAAAGGAGAAGCGTGTAGGTCTCTACATGGTGCATAGAACTCAGCCAATCATGTAACAGTGCAGTCATCAAGAATGCAATGTTACACCTGTAAGTGGGTAATTGAACTTGACTTTAGACAAATCCTTCTCATTTGGAGTGGAAGGGAAGAGGTCTGGTTAAGGTATCAGCCAAGGGAGAAAATAGTCCCAAAGGGAGAAACTGAGGAAGAATAACTGAACAGAAATTCTGAGCTCAGGGAAGGAGAGGTGACAGGTGCTTCATTTATTTACTGTCTTTCATTTCAAGAGATAGAAACTCAACCAGAGGTAGCCTGAGCTGAAATAAGACAATTTCATGGTCACATTCCCATAAAGGAAAGGGAGGAGTTGGCCTCACACTCAATTTAGGCACCTTCAATGCCATATTCATTTTCTCCTTCTCCCTTTCCCTCTCCCTCCCATGCCTCTCTTTTTCCTTCCCTTTTTCATTGCCATGGACTTTCTCAGTGTAGCAGGAAGCAAGACTACCAGCTACTCCACATTTAGCTCCTTTAAACTTAGAGGGAAAAGGAGTATTTCTCTTAGACTCAAGTGGGAGATACCTTTTGGCATTATTTCCATTGGCCTGGCTTAGTCGTGTTTCTCTATTTTTTAAAAATTCCACCTATATTGAGATATAATTCACATACTGTACAGTGCCTCTCTTTCATGTGTATAGGTCAGTGGTTTTAGTATATTCACAATTGTACAATCATCACCACTCTCTAAACCCAGAACATATCCACCGTCTCAGAAAGAAACCTCTTAGCCATTAGCAAGTCATTCTGATTCTCATTCCTTCCTGGACACAGCCACTCATCTCCCTCCTGTGTCTATAGATTTGCCTATGCTGGATATTTCAATATGTCTTCTTTTATGACTGGCTTCTTTCACTTAGACTCATGTTTTGGAGGCCCATACCTGTTGTAGTATGTGCAAATATTTAATTCCTTAAATTGTTGAATAACAGTTCCCTTTTTGGATATTACAAATAATGATACTATGAGCTTTCATGTGCAGGTTTTCTATAATTGAATGTATTGGGGTTACATTGGTTAATAAAATCATACACTAGTATGCACATGTATTTTTAAAATATGTTTTACTGAGTTTTTTAGAGAGAGAAAGGGAGAGGAGAGAAACATCAATCAGTTGCCTCCCATATGTACCTTGACCAGGGACGGAGCTCACAACCTGGGCTTGTGCCTGACTGGGAATTGAACCAGCAGCCCTTTGGTATACAGAATGACGCTCAACCAATTGAGCCACATGTATTTTTGTATAGCCTTTCAGTGGCTTCATGAAGGCTTTTTATGTGCCCTAACTGCATACATATGGAATCTTCATAGAGAGAAACCTCCAAAAATTGACCTGAACACAATTTGCAAGTCCATGAAACAAGCTTCCATCTTTCTGGTTTATAACATTTGGGAGTAATTCTGAGTCTGGTGAGAAGCATTTTAGTCCATTTTTGCTTCATGTAAATTGCACTTCCCCACATTCTTTTTTAGATATACATGCATGGTACCCTATAAAATTAATTGAAATAATATATTGTCTTATTTAATTAATGAGAACCCTTCAGATAAGAGTTGCATTTTTTCACAATGTCTTTTCTTTTTGTCTCTTTCATGTGCTGATACACACTGATGCTTACATTTATGTAGAAGATTTTCAGGGGTATATTAGGATCCTCTAAATGGAGAAACAGTTATCTACTTGGTAAGTTGAGATCTGTTCTTTTTTTATGCTTTTTTTTTCTTGAAACAACTTCATATTGAAGCTTTCTGTTAATGAGTCATTTAAAACTAGATGTATCTATACATAACATTTGAACAACTACAGTCATTGCAGAAAATAAACGTTTTCTTTTATTTTTGTTTCTTTCTTCACACTAGGCAATAGCAATACAATCTTTCATTTAGGCATTCCTCTGTGTTTATACAGAGGTTTTCCGTGCATGATTTCATCTGATGGCCCCAACATCTCTGTCCAGTAGTCAGGGCAGATGTTGGTGTGCCCTTTGAGAGGGTCTGTAAACTTGAACAGCCTTGCTCAGTCCTCCTGAATGCATGACCTAAGCTTCTGGGCCCACATATGCACTAAGGTGAAGTGGGAGGATCTGGATTAAAATTCATCTAACTGGCTGGGGCTGAATTGGATAATTCTCTAGCTACATGACTGGACTGAACCATCATTTCCGATTCTTAATTGGGAGAGGGAGGCTCTCCTTTCTTTCTTCCTTGTGTGGCCTCTCACTTGAAGTAGGATGGGTTAGTGTTGTGTGGCCTAGGAACCATTTTTATGTTCCTGAGGCTTTTTCCTATTGGTGCTGATGGTGGTCAAACTCTTTGGTGATCTCCCACTTCCTCCTTGGTCAAGAGGCACATCTGAGACATCAATAATAACATCACAGAATGTTCTAGAAGTGACAAGGCCTTAAAACTATTATTGTGTTCCAGATCTCGTTTCTGACACACCCAGACGTGAACAGTTTTATGAACGGTCGCACGGTAAGTGGTCCTGTCTTCTTCCCAGGTCAGTTGACCTCAGTCTCATCAAGTCAGACTCTGTGGTAGCCATTTCATAGGAGATAAACCCATTAAATACAAACAATTTTAAGTGAATGAAATGATAGTAGAGTACTGCATAAACTTGCTTTGCAAATGATTGAAAAGATAAAATTGCGGCATTAGAAACTCACTTAAATGATATCAGAAGTTGAAATATCAAATCAGGCTAGGGAGATCAGTTTGACCTTTTTCCTGCCCCACAATGGGTATTTTCTGGATAATCCAAATTATTTTGATTTTCTCTTTGCCCTCCACTCTCAACTATATTTTGTGTTAAGCAGACATTAGTGGTATTTATTTTTCTCCTGTTACAGATCAGTTTTCTTATTTAATCTTTGTGATAACTCTTTAAACCAGGTTATTGGCTGCTTATATAGAAGAAATGAGAATTAACTCAAGGTGTTAATTTTATGCACAAATACTCTGTACTAATTGCTAGACAGGATTTCCTCCTTCAACCCTCACACCCATCCTGTAAGGCGACACCATGTTCCTTCCCATTTTACAGATGAGCAAACTGATTTTCTGTAACTTGCCCAAGGCTACCCTCCTGGATGCATGACCTAAGTTATGGGACCCAGCTATGCAATAATGTGTAACTGGGAAGATCTGGACTAATGCTCATCTGACTGACTGGAGCTGAATTGGGTAATCCTCCAGCTATGTGACTAGGACTGACCAAAAATTAGTGTGTGGCAGGGCAGAGACAGGACTTTGATACCCATCTGTCACTCTAAAGCCTGTTTGTTTGTTTTTTCATGCTATTTTCCAAAGGAACTGTGAAATTTACTCTATGTCCAGAGTTTTCCATCACAATGAATAAAACAGATATAAATATTTCATTGAGTTCAATGTCTGATCCTCATTAGGCATGCTCACAATTTGAGGCTTGATTTAAGGGGGGGGGGGGAAGCCCAAGTTTTAGACCTTCTCTATATAGTCACTTTGAAAGAACATACAGTTATTCCACTACTGTGACAACTGCTGAGAACATTTTGAACACTTCTTTTGAAATTGCCTTCAGAATCTCTGGCTCATTCTTTTGAATCTCTATACTGGTGGTAAATATTTGCCATTCAATTTGATTTTAGAAATAGCCCAAAGACATTTGGAAATCAGTCTTACCCTAAACTTAGTACCTTAAGCAACAATTGTTTATTAGCATAGTTTTTGAGGGTCAGGAACCCAGAAGCAGTTTAGTTGGGCATGTCTGGCCAGAGTCTCTACAAACAAAGTTACAGATAAGATGCCGACTAGGGCTGTGATGTCATCGAAAGGCTTGCCTGGGGCAGAAAGATTCACTTCCAAGGTTACTCACCTGCTTGTTGGCAGGCCTCAGATCTTCATGGCTGTTGAACTAAGGGCTTCAGTTTCTCATCATATGGGCCTTTCCACAGGGGTGTCTTAATATCTTCAAAGTGTGACAGCTGGCTTCCCCCAAGAAAATGACAAGAGACAGAGAGAGAGAGAGAGAGAGAGAGAGAGAGAGAGAGAGAGAGAGAAGTGAGCAAGCAACAGAGCACCCATGGCAAAGGCAAAGTCTTTTATGAGCTGATTCTGGATGTGACAGACCATCATTTCTGCATATTTATTAATCACACAGACCACCCTTGGTTCAGTGTGGAAGGGGCACACCTAAGAGTGTGAACAGCCCGGAGACCATCTCAGAGGTTGGCTACCACATTGGGGAAATGCCATTTGGGACGAGAAATATATGGATATAAATTAATGTGATTGATCCTTTTTATGTGTCTCAGGAAGTAATTCCAGAGCTGAATTCTAAAAACATCTTGGGCTTTGGGAGCAACACGGACACAGATGTGCAGCTCTCTCGGAGAGGGCTTTGAACATGACAACTTAGTTCAATGCAGCAAATCTGTGTGACAAGCACTGGGCAGAGACATAGAGACTGAAAGAGAAATAGACAGTCCATGCCCTCGAGGGCTTACACCTGTGACTGAGACAGATCATGGGCAATGGAGAGAAATAAGTACTGGGCTTGGTAGTGACACCATGCAGAGCAGGGTGCAGGAGAGCTTGACAAGGAAGACGAAATTGTCATGGCAGGATGGGTTCTGATTATGCTAGTCATAATCCTTTTCATTAATTTATTGTCATGTGGCCTGTGAATGACAGAGCCTATGCTTCCTTTTCTCTCTTTAGAGAGAAGGGGCTTCCCCCTTGGAGGTAGAGGGTACCAGGACCAGTGGCGCAGAGCGAGAGTAAATACTGGCTTTGAGTCTTGAGGTAAGAGGACACAGGTAAAAACGTGTATTTAGAAACAGACACTGTTGGAGTGAATGCCTTCAAACTGCAACTCTCACACCTTCAAACGTCTGTGCTTCACTGTTTACCTCCCATCTTTGCCTTTCCACCGTCTCATCCCCTTCCAGACACTGCTCCTCCTTCAGCTCTTCACTCTTGCTTCCTCAGGCTCTTTCCTGTGGCTTTTGTATTTGCTGCCACTGAGGTGATCAAGTTGTTCCACTTTAAGAGCAAACAAACAAATAGCAAACAAGAGATCATTCCCTTTGTTTGATGAAGTGTCCTTTTCACCCTCCCTCTTTCTCTGCTAAGCTTCTTGCCACAGTGTCTATGGCTCCTGATTGACCTCCTTGCCTCCCTTTCACTTTTCTGCTTTTTGCAAACCGGATTCTAATCTTCCAAATCTGTGAAATCTAATCTGCCTTCCTTTTCTCCATGAGTAATTTAAGCCCTGTGATCATTTGTATTATTTCTGCCACCCAATTCTTTCCTTCTAAAGTAGATTACTCTGTCATCTCTTCCACTTGCCTGACTTTTTCATCATTTCGCAGTTATTTCCAAGTTCACATCTCCTGCCCTGCTCCATCTGGGATCCAGGCCCTGATATCAACTGCCCACTAGATGTAGTTGCTATGGAAACCTTGGGAGCAAATGAAACTCAACCAGCCTCCTTCCTCAACTGAAGATACCACCACCCACCTAATTTTCACAAGTTCACAATTTTAGAGCATCATGGACTCTTCCTTACCCTCTGTCTTCTCGCAACACTGGCAAATTACTGATTTTGTCCTCGCATTTTCTCTGGTATTGGCCCAGGTCCTGGTCCCATGATGTCTACCTTGCAGGTCCTCGGGTTTATCTGGAAACACAGAGGAGACTCTGGTCCTGCTCTACTTAAACCCCCTAATGTTTGCTTCACTTATGGGATAAAGCAGAGGTGTGCAACAGTCAGATCCTGAGCCAAGAGGAGGTGTTGTGGGGAGATGGAGACCCTCACATAGAGGAACAAGTGTCACTCACGCTGCAAACCTACACTGAAAATCTAGTCTCATGGGTATATTAACTCTCAGTTACTAGGGATTGGAGCAAATGCAGCTATGGATTTCCGAAGGCATTGGTAAAGGAACATCATGAAGGACACAAAGGAATGTTGGTATACAATCATAACTGCTGATTCAGAGAGTGTTCATTTTTACACACACACACACACACACACACACACACACACACACACACGTTAATAATAAAGCTTGGGCTTCCTGGGCTTTAGATTTACATAGCACCATATGCCTTCAGGATAAAGTCCGAACTCCCTACCATGGCCCACAAAGACCTTTGTGACCTGGCCCCACCTACTTTTTTAGCCTCATCTCTCCCAAGTCCCCCGATCCCCTAAGCTCTGGCAATACTCAAATACTGGCAATTTCTCCTGCTGTGACCTCCACCTGGAACATCCACCTGGCTAATTCCTCCTCACGTCTCAGGTCTCACCTCAGTGGCCCCTCCCAAATCAGAGCTACATCTCTTTAGGGCCTCCCTCAAGTCCTCATCCCAGACATGCAATTGCTTGTCTTCTTTCTGCCTGATCTGTCCCACCTGACTCTTGGGCACAAAGCTCAGGGAGCTTCCCTGCCATCGTCTCCCAGTGCCCTGCACAGAGCAGAGCACCCAGCAAGCATTCAGGAAGTGTTTGTTGAGTAAATGACAGAATTCTTCCCTTTGGGCTCTTGAGATTCTTTTATTACAGTAAAAACAAAACAAAACAAAACAACAAAACAATAACACACACAACAGCTAAGCATAGTACAATATAATTAATTTGCAACCATTGGAATTTGAAAGAAGTCAACTGACTTTAATAAAATAGAAGGAAAATTTGACCAGTGAGGTTGTATTGGATGAAAAATGCAAATAGTAGGTTTTCTTTTTCATCTATGTGCCCCTGAATATAAAAACCAGTTTAGCTGAGATAAAAAAAACTACTCATTATGAAGAAACAACTCATCATATTCTTTTTTTACAAACTTAAATCATTTTTTTTTTTTTTTGCATAGCAGAGCATTCTCAGGGTAAACAATGGAGTTTTCAATGATTTGGCTGTATTTTATTATTAATGATATGCTTATATTGGCCATGCATACATATGTATTGCTATATAAATTAATGACCTAATTTCTATGAAAAAAAATGATCACTTCAAGAACATCTTTTTTTACTTGATTTTTTTTCAGAGAGAGAGAGAGAGAGAGAGAGAGAGAGAGAGAGAGAGAGAGAGAGGACTACGGTATTTGTTGTTCCACTTGTTTATGCATTCTTTGGTTGTTTCTTGCATGTGCCCTGACCAGAGATTGAACTGCAACCTGGGCATATTTGGATGATGCTCTCACCAACTAAGCTACCCAACCAGAGCCAAAAAACATTGCTTTAAAGACAGCACAAAAAAAAAAAAAAAAAAAAAAAAAAAAAGACAGCACAGACAAAAGGTCAAAGGCTGCCACTCTGGCCTGGGCATTGACTTTGACTGAAGTCCTGGTCTGTCTCTGCTCTCCGGTGTTCTAAGTTTGCTAGAATCATAAAACAAGGCTGGAAAGGCTTCTACAGGGAGTCTAGTGAGGAAGTTGACTCACACTGTCTGGAATCAGCAGGCCTGGCTCCCAGCCCCATCTGCCTTTTAGGAGCTGGGACAGTGACCCAATCCCTTAACATCTATGGCTCAGGTCCTTCAAATATTTTTTTTTAATTTTTTTTAAAATATATATTTTATTGATTTTTATACAGAGAGGAAGGGAGAGAGATAGAGAGTTAGAAACATCGATGAGAGAGAGTCATCGATCAGCTGCCTCTTGCACACCCCCTACTGGGGATGTGCCCGCAACCAAGGTACATGCCCTTGGTAGGAATAGAACCCGGGGCCCTTCAATCCCCAAGCCGATGCTCTATCCATTGAGCCAAACCGGTCCCGGCTGGTCCTTCAAAGATTTATAGTTGTTATCATTTACTGGACCATGGACTCCTTGGGGATGTCTTATCTTGTTACCCTTATTATCTTAGTTTAACAATAAGAAAATATAATTAATGGTACTATCTTAAATTAACAATATCCTTTGTTTCATAATGGTAAAACTGGTGTCTAGAATTTAATTTATATGGGATCTTGCCTGTAAACCGGGCATGTGCCCTTGACTGGAATAAAACCTAGGACTCTTCAGTCCACAGGCCAATGCTCTATCTACTGAGCCAAACAAGCTAGGGTTCCTGTGGGGAGCTTTCTGAAGGTGGAGATGTAGGCTCACACAGCACAGAAGCCTCAGAGCTTGGCTCAGTCTCTGGAACAAAATAGGAGCTGAGGAAGTGTTTTTGAGCCATAACAAACACTGTTCTAGGATTCTCTCAGAAAACCATGTTATCTATCCGAGTGGCTAGTGGAAGGTATTATTTAAACCAAGAGCTCTGAAATGTTTTTGTATTTGCTGTTCTAAAATAGGAACTATGGCAAGTCAGCCCCCCTCAAGTGGTCTGGGCTCTATGTGAGGTCTCACACTGAATTGCTATTGCTGGATTCGCCCAAACATTTTCATTACATAGGGGCTGGAAGACCACAAACCTCACTGACTGCCCCCAAACCACAGCAGCA